TCCCACCATCTCCAAAGCCAAATTGAACTGGGGCTGTCTCTTATACACATCTAGATGTGTATAAGAGACAGGCCAAGCACCGTATTGCTGCGAATACAACGTACGGTCAATATAGCGGCATTCAGTGTAGAGGCATTCATGATGACCATCCGTTCTACTCGGGTGAAGACGGCAGTACTTCGAGCCCCGGACTGTACTAATCGATCAAGACATTTGCGTACCTGAATGTGTGTCTCTTCGGCGAGACTTCTCCATAGCCGGAACTGGTCACCGACCCGCCACCATCGCCGTTGCCATGCTCGGCCTCCTCTTCCCTGCTCATCTTCTTCCTCAGTCTCTTGACCATCATCGACCCCACTGCTCCTACTGCACTCACGTCCCACCCACACCACTATTGCGCTTCTCTCCTCCCTCTCCTCCCTCTCCTCCCTCTGCTGCTCCTGTTCTGCACGTGCCTTAGGAATCCATAATACAAAGGCCTTCTGTGACTGCAAGTCGTCGGAGTCGAAGACGCGAACTTCCTCTCTGGAGGGCCATTCGAACAACCGTGGAAGGGTACCATGATCACTCGAGCCAGGTGGCCGCTTTTCTTCTTCTATTACCATTGCTGTTGGCCCCTCGTCCCTTCGCACCCCTCTGTTTAGTCTGGCCGTCTCGATCCATTCTTCCATCAACACGTGGCGTACAGAGACAGCTTCCCCAGTGGCTGCAGCGCCGTCGGCGGGCTTCTCGTCAGCTCTCTCCCTCGCTGTCCCAACCACTTGTAACACCTCTGCACTCCCAGCCCCCTCGGTCTTCGCGGAGTCAGCCATAGCGGCGTCGAACTGGTCACACCCCCTCCTCTGAGAGATCGTGGGGGCCTCCTGTGCTCCTCCCCCCCCTCCTCCTTCGGGACCCCCCCTCCACAACACCTGCTCACCGTTCTCCCTCCTCGCGTTTTGCTCCTTTGTCTCTGCATGTTTGCCCCCTTCCCTGCCCATCTCTCCTTCCCTCCCAGAGGGGCTCAAGGGCATGCAGCAGGGTGGCGACCCATTCTCCCGCCCTCCCTTCATCGCTCCACCTCTAGGTGTCCCCACCACAGCCACCACTGCTCCCTCTGTCTCTGACAAGCTGCCGGAATCGGCTGTCCTTCCACCACCTCTCTCTCCCCGATTCTCCAACCATGCGTTATTCTTCCCAATACTTTGTGAAGGCGCCGAGCACCCATCGTCATGGCAGAAACCTAGCAGATCCTGGGCCATGTTCACTGCTGAAGGATTGCTGCTAGACGAGCCCCTCCCTCGACTCCCATCCCTCTCCCTCCCCTCTGCCTCACGAGGTGAATCGCCGGCGGCAACCAGTCGTTCGTTGCCCCACGTGGTGACGACCAGTCGTTCGCTGCCCCGCGTGGCGGCGACCAGTCGTTCGCTGCCAAGATTACCCAGAGCTGCTTTGGCAATTGCATCGTAGTCGGCGTCGTAGGCGGGAACAGTGAGACGCTGGCTGCCGTTTCCTGCAGCACCTCCTCTCGGAGAGGCTGACAAGGAAGAGGGGGTCGATGACGCGCTCCGCAGGGTAGCCCAAAACTCCGCCTTCTCCTCCCCTTCCTTCACAAATCGGATGGGTCCGGCCATCTTCTCATACTTGATCACCTGCCTCGCAACCTTCTCTGCGGCCAGCGCAATAACACCGGGACATTCTCTCCCTCTCCACACCACCAGACCCGACGAAGCCAGCAGCAAAAACGCGCCACGTGTGTCCAGCGATTCCACCCCAGGCTTCAACACAAGCTTGTGAACGAGATGAAGTGGATCGTTGTGAGAATGCGGTGCAATTCGGTACAACCTCGCCCCTCCACCTCCTCCTCCTCCTGCTGCTGCTGCTGCTGCTCCTGCAAGAAGACGCCTTTGCCACTGAATGAGCTGGCAGGCAAATCCCATGTTGGGATTGGTCACCCCACGAGCCGCCTTGACATCGCGGAAAGCGTCATCGTAGCTCTTCCCCTCTTTCCACATTAAGTAAGCGATCACAAGAGCCGTCGATCTGGAAACCCCCTGGGAGCAGTGGACAAACACCCTCCCTCCTTCCTCTTTCACTTGCTCAAAGTAGTCGAACACATCGTAGAGAACTGAGAGGATGTCCTCTCCTGGTGTGTCCTGCAGCCACAGCGTCCTGTAGACAAGCTGCCCCGCGAAGTACTCCGGGCAGAGGAACCCCACACAGTTGAGAACGTGGGTGATACCCGCCGCTCGCAGGGTCTCTCTGTTCCGGGCTACAAGATCGCTCCCCAGGTAGATGTGCTCCCTCACGCGCGAGCACTGCTTTTCAAAAAAGGCGAACTTATCACGGCGCATATGGAGCTCGGAAGGCTCTGCGCAGCCGCCCTCACAGTTGCGTGCCAATGCTGTGAGATCTAACTGCACGCAGGCGCGGGCGCGCGCGCCCGCACCCGCCACACCCGCACCGCGAGCCAGACCGTTAGCCTCCCGCCTGAGAGCTCCAGGGGAGAGAGGGGTGGAGGTAGTAGGCTGGTACCCACTGCCGCCACTGCCCACCTCCCCCCGCCCCACATTGTCCTTGTTGGCTTCAACCCCCATTCTTGCGCGGGGAGAAGCCACCTCCAACCTGCTAACTGATGGTGAGCGGGAAATCAGCGGAGAGCGGAGGGGCACCCTCGCACTGGGCAGAGCGATGGAATTCGAATTCGAATTCGAATTCGAATTCGTATTTGTCGTCCTGCCGTTATCACCCACTGCACCATTCGGTGAAAAAAATACCGCCTTTCCCGAAATTCTTCCCGCCTTCTCGCTAGCTCTCCCGCCAAAACTTTCGCCAGTGGCGGACACATCATTTGCCCCCTTTCCATCAGCTTTGCCTCTTCCTCCAATCCAAGCCGTAGATCTCCAGAACAATCTCCGCACATTGGGGAACATGGCCGCTCCCCCCCCATCAGCTGCCTCTCTGTCCGCTGAGCGCGCCTCTGAATCATTGACCGGAGGTAAGTTCGCAGCACTGACCAGAGGTCGTGGGTTCGAACCCGTCGCCGGCGAAGAAGGGACTCCAAGACCAGCCACCCCTGTTCCCACCTTCGGCACTCCTTTCTGAAACCCCCCGAGCGTGGTCTCCATATCCATGGGTGGTGCAGGTGTCACTCTGGGCGACAACAACGTCGCCAGCATCTTCATGTTGGTCAGAGAGCGTCTGATGTGCTTGTGCTCAACCTCTTCTTGGCTGCCTGTTGTCATCACCGTCCTCCTCCTCCCAGCTGAACTGTGCGCCCGCTATGGAATCCTCTGCCTCATCAATTCTCTCCCTCTTCCGACTCCCGCCACCTCCCCTCTCCCCGTCAACGGCAAGCAAACACATTCAAGCTGACTTTTAACTAAACTAAACTCTGCAGTAATCAAGATCAATCACCCAACCCCAACACATATGCATTCGATCCGCACACACCCCACATGTACTGTACAACTCCAACCCCCCCCCCCCCCCCCCCCCCCCCTCCCCCCCCCCCCCCCCCCCCCCCCCCCCCCCCCCCCCCCCCCCCCCCCCCCCCCCCCCCCCCCTCCCTCTTCCCTTCCCTCTCTCTCTCTCTCCCGCGCGCGCACGCACTGTCGGTGTTTCCCTCACTCTCCAGAACAGCACACAAAATCGACAACATACTTCATTTAGAAGAGATGCACATCAGGCAAGGCTTTAATCTCGAGGAGGACATAATGTGCACAAAAAAGAACCAGCTTGATTAGCATCACTCCAGCATCGCCCTTCTGCATCGTCCACTCAGGCGATGATCCCAACACCTTTCATCTGATCTATAGTCACGCTCCCTAGTCTACAGAGCCCTACTTCCCATCCACTCGAGAACCCACTCATCAATCCCTGATCGGCCCGTTACCTTCTCACCCTATGTATGGGTTCTGCCCCTGTCAGGCGGGTGTGCAACTTTGCAATCTGGACCTCCCCATTTGGGCCTTTTTTTTTTTTTTTTTTTCCCTGGAAAACCCCCATTGCAAGCCCACTATCCTGGTGCTGGTACGAGAACCACTAGGATTGAGGCCTTGCCTGTGGGGTTGCTCCATCTATTGGTGGGGAACTTCACCTGCTGGAAATCGGGTCCAGCATCCCATTGAATACACTCATTACACGGCAATGATCGCATGTACCTTCTGTCCGGGGCTGGAGCTTTCAGGTTTTCGTACCGCAGAGCTGTGATTACTTTCCCCTTGGGCTGCTGGGCCTTGGCCTTTTGTAATACCGCCTAGAAGAAGTTGGTAAGTACTGGGGCATTTTGCAAAGTTGGATGGTACCCGCTAGGGGTATATTGCAAAGATGGGGGTCCCACCGACGCTAGGGGTATTTTGCAAAGTTGGATGGTACCCGCTAGGGGTATATTGCGAAGTAGGTACTTCGCAAATTATCCCCCCCCAAAAAAAGACAAAAGAATATGGCACGATATTCAGGCGAGATACCAACCTTGCAATCTCGCACGCCGGATAGGTCTAACGGGTAGTCAATCCCCTCCTAACAGAGGCCCAGAGGGCAATCAATGCTACCCCTCGAATAACGATCAATCAATATAGACTATCGTGTTGTAATCTGGGATGCTGGATCCGCTTTCCAGCAGGTGTCAAACGATCATAATGTTTTGGGATGCTGGACCCGTTTTCCAGCAGGTGCTGCTCCCCACCAATAGATGGAGCCTCCCCGGGATGCTGGACCCATTTTCCAGCAGGTGCTGCTCCCCACCAATAGATGGAGCCTCCCCGGGAGTGCTAGCGGTGCCTGCTCCTATCAGCACCCCTAGCATTAGCTCGGGTTGTTTCTCGGGAAAAAAAAAAAAAAAAAAAAAAAAAAACTAATGGAAGGGAGGTACCCGTATCATCTAGGTCGTCGTTGCCCACTTTGCCTCAGAGGCACGAGAGGCACGACCCCTGGGGAGATTCTTTTTTTCCTTTTTATTCTTTTAACTACATTCAATTGCTCAAAGTAGTCGAACTCATCGTAGAGAACTGAGAGGATATCCTCTCCTTGTGTGTCCTGTAGCCACAGCGTCCTGTAGACAAGCTGCCCCGCGAAGTACTCCGGGCCGAGGAACCCCACACCGTTGAGAACGTGGGTGATACCCGCCGCTCGTAGGGTCTCTTTGTTCCGGGCTACAACATCGCTCCCCAGGTAGATGTGCTCCTTGACGTGCGAGCACTGCTTTTCAAAAAACGCCAACTTCAAGTTATCACGGTGCATATGGAGCTCGGAAAGCTCTCTGCAGCCGCCCTCACAGTTGCGCGCAAATGCTGTGAGATCTAACTGCACGCAGGCGTGGGCGCACTCGCCCATACCCGCACCGCGAGCCAGACCGTTAGCCTCCCACCGGAGAGCTCGAGGGGAGAGAGGGGTGGAGGTAGTAGGCTGGTACCGCCCGCGCCTGCGTGCAGTTAGATCTCACAGCATTGGCACACAACTGTGAGGGTGGCTGCGCAGAGCCTTCCGAGCTCCATATGCGTCGTGATACGCCCCACATTGTCCTTGTTGGCTTCAACACCCATTCTTGTGCGGGAAGAAGCCACCTCCAAACTGCTAAGTGACGGCAAGTGGGAAATCAGCGGACAGCGGAGGGGCGCCCTTGCACTGGGCAGAGCGACGAAATTCGAATTCGAATTCGTCTTCCCGCCGTTATCACCCACTGCACCATTACGTGAAAAAAATACTATCTTTTCCAAAATTCGCTTTCCCACCTTCTCGCTAGTTCACTCGCCAAAACTTTTTTAGTGGCGGACACATCATTCGCCCCTTTTCCATCAGTTTTGCCTCTTCTACAAATCTAAGTCGTCGATCTTCAAAACAATCTGGAACATGGTCGCTCCCCCGCCCTCAGCTTGCCTCTCTATCCGTTGAGCGCGCCTCTGAATCATTGACCAGAGGTAAGTTCGCGGCACTGACCAGAGATCGTGGGTTCGAACTCGTCGTCGACGAAGAAGGGACTCCGAGACCAGCCACCCCTGTGCCCGCCTTCGGCACTCCTTTCTAAACCCCCCCCAGGCGTGGTCTCCATATCCATGGGTGGCGCAGGTGTTGCTCTGGATGACAACAACGGCACCAGCATTTTTTTATTTTTATTTTTATTTTTTTTTTTAACAGAAACCCGTGGCATCAAATTGGAGTGTTGATAAGAGCATACACTCCTACCTGACGCACTGGGGGCTCCAGTCTATTGGTGGGGAGCTGCACCTGCTGAAAAACGGGTCCAGCGTCCCTTATGTTGCAATTCAGAGAATAAAAGATGAGCTCTTTGCTGGGAATCGGGCCCAGCGTCCCCTTTACCTCTTCACCCTCCCTAGAGTGGCGCCAGATTAACCCTTTAAACTCTAGTACTGATGAGATAATGGTGACTCTGCTTCGATCTGATTTTGTTGAATCAACCTGTAGGAGTGCAAACAATTGATCTAATATGAATCTATTGCAAATCATCACCAATTTCAAACCAAGAGTTGGGAACCACCACAGTGAGGGGGGGTGGGAAGGGGTCAGGAAAATCTGCAAGGGGTCTCAGGGGGATTGAGAGGTCAACTGAGCACCACTCATTAAACACAATCTTGTAATTTCTTTTAATGAGTCCATCCTCTGCATCACTAGCTCCTTCCCATACCACTTTTCCAATCCCTCCCCCCTGGTTCCCACCAAGCCATACCAGACTGAATTGTTGTATTTGCTGGGAATTTTTTTTTTTATCTGATAAAAATTGAATTTTCTCCTTAGTGAGTTCCCATTGATTCAGTGTGCTTGTCTGAATTTGTTCTTTTATTGTTTCTGTGAATTCCGGGTCATCCATTCTGGCTCCTTCCCATTCATAGATACATCTCCTCCTCCAAATGGCCCATAATATCGCCCTCCTGCTGAGAATAAATAGATTTTGGGTAAATTCATCACAAGGTGCAGCATTCCATACTTCCATTAACAGGGGTTTCCATCCCCATGGCCACTGAGCCTTTGTTTCCAGAGTACGCCAGATCCTGTCCCACCATCTCCAAAGCCAAATTGAACTGGGGCATTGAAGGAAAATGTATTCGATTGTCTCCGGAATCGTTCTACTTGGATACGCAGTTTTGCATAGTTTGCACCATGGCTGAGTATGATCGTTCTTGTCATGTGACGTTCTGTCTATTAACCAGTCATTAGTAGGTAGGCATCTATGTTCGATCTGTCATTGTAGGGAAGCTATTTTAGCTGGTTTAAAGTTCTTGTTGCGAAACCATTTAATGTTTTTCAAATCTTCTATGCTCTGGTTAAGATGTCTCATCCATCTGTCAGATACTCTGTCTTTTAGGTTGATTGTAGGACGTAGCATTCTATAAGTTGATTTGACTGATAGAAAGTGGAGTGACCTGGTATAATTTCTGTTATTTTTTTCCTGCGATCCCCATTTCCATACCGCTGGATCCATTGCTAGGTGCGATATGGGAGTGTCGGGTCTGAACGCTATGCATTCATTGTCGGATTGCAATACTCTGATTCTGAAAATTAAATATTTACCTACCCTTCTAAATTCATCCTCTAGGTGGGGTATTACTCTATTATCCTCTTTAAGGATTAAGAGGGAAGTTAAAATATCTCCATTTGCCTCAACTTCTAAGATATTACCTATTAGGTGATTGCAGTCAGTGAAAGTTACCCAATCGTTGGGTTTGATGTCAGGGCCCCTCCTGAGGATGCGAACCCAGTCCAAGGGTATCAACTCAACAATTTTATCCAAGACATTCTCCAAATGATGACAATATCTTAGTCTATCCTGAATTTTCCCCTGGGTAACCCAATCTTTGGTTTCTTTATTTCAAATATCCTTGATTCTGATTACTCCCTTCTTAATCCATCCCTTCCAAGGGGGGTCATTACAGTGCAACATGATTCCTTGATTATCTCTAATCCATGTGTTATTAAACAAGGCTTGTTGACATACTTCCTCCCATCTAGTGGGATGACTTTTGTCCGGCAAAGGCAGTTTCCTCCAGGTCTTGATAAGGGAAATCCAGAATGGATCTCTATTGAGATCTCTCCTGGCTTCTTCCCTATCATCAGAGGGAGCTTCAACCTCATCAGTCTTTTTCCTTTTTGGAAGAGGCCAGGCTCGGTTTTCCAGCCACATTAGAGGATCAACAAGTTCGTTAGTAAGGGTGTCAATCTCTTAATCTGTTCCCACGCTAAGATGGACCATGGAGACTGTGGACAAAAGAGAAGCCTAATGATCCATTGAATGGATAATGCCATAACTTGGAGAGTAGGGTCAATGAGACCTAAACCTCCTCTTGATTTTGGTTGAATAATTGCGTCACAGGCTACCCTGCTTATCACCT